CGTATATTATTCTCTATGAGGAAAAAAAAGTAAAGAAAAGGAAATTCTTTCTGTAAATTTACAATCAAATATTTTGAAGAAATTGAATTGAATAGATTGACATTTATAGTTAATTAAAACGGTATTTAAAGTTTTAATAAATGCACTTGCAGAAATATTCAAATCTTCTGCTAATTAGTTACTTCTTAAAAAAATGTTATTAGCAATAAGTGTAATGAAAATGGCTTAACTGGAACAGAATTAACCTATATTAATTAAAAATATGCATCTTGAATAAACAAACAGTGCAAGTATTTATAAAAAATTACTAATTATTAGTCTTCATCATTATTTTCAGAATCTGCTCAACATCGCATATGTAGAGATGAGCTTAAATTTGGAATATTTGCCAATAAGCTCATTAAAACAAGCATTCGCAGCACTAATGAGACACCGACATGAAATAATGCACACTATACGTCCCCCTCTGTTGTCGCGACCCCTGGTGGTGACTATGGTTACGAGGTATAATATTTTTAGGGATGTGGGGTCCCTGTTTTGGCTCGTGTCGTCGAAAGAAAAGAAATCTTTTGCTTCGAACTATTGTGATATCATTAGAATGAAGAGAAATGGGCATTGGAGTTTGAAATATTAATTAGATCATTAGATTCCTTGTACTATCTTTTCACTTTTTCGAAAGTTTCTATTTCAGAAAAGTTATTCAAAAATTTTATGCGTTTTTTGTGTTTAAGTCTCTTTTTGATTTTCATCGCTATTATTTGTTCGAATATATTCTGACAAGCTGAAATTATTGTTTCTATGAATGGTGGATAATAAATAGGAGATAAAATTGTTAAAAGCAGTTCGATGCGAAGCGCGCTCAAAAAAAAAAAAAAAAAAAAAAAAAAAAAANAAAAAAAAAAAAAAAAAAAAAAAAAAAAAAAAAAAAAAAGAAAAAAAAGAAAGAAAGAAGGAAAGAAGAAAAAAACAGGCCATTTGGAATAACTTTTCATCTAATAATTGGACTTTCACGTTCTAGGATTCACTTTTAATGGTTCGAGGGGGTGACCTCAAATATGCAAATTAATTGGTGTAGACGATATTTTAAGATACGAAATCAGACACAAAAACGTACTTTCTCTGAAAATAAACATACCGTTTTTTACGACGGATTCAGATTTTTGATCCCGCCCCCCCAAATATAGGGAAAAACCGCAATCTAGAAAATGTGGTCCCAATAGTTTGGTCAGGGGAGTGCTCCACAATGTTGATTCCCTTAATGTTAATTTTACTTTTTACGCATTTCGCTATATCTCATGAACTTTTTAAGTAAATTGAAAATTTTTTTACACGCAATTATAAAATTTACTTTTCCAAAGAAAATTCCACTCAAAAAATAACTTTTTGTAAATATCTACTATTATCAGTTATTTTACTTAAGAATGATCGAAAATCAAGGAAGAAAAATTTTTTGCATCGTTTTAAAGAAGGTAATTTTATAGAGCAAAATACAAAATCTGAGCAGAATTGGTCAAATAGTGCCTGAGAAATCGAATTTGAAAGAAGTCGGATACTTCAAATTTCGACTTCTCGGGAACTCGACCGATTTTGCTCCAATGTCGTATTTTGCTATTTAAAATTGCGTTCTTTATAACGAAGAAAGAAATTGTAAAACTTATTATTCAAAATCTTTTCGCCCAATATTAAATAAGCTAATGAAAAATAATAAATATTTACTAAAAGTTATTTTTTTCCATTGAACTATCTTTAACCGAATTTTATAATTGTGTGTAAAAAATTTTCAATTCGCTTAAAACGTTCTCGAGATATATCGAAATACGCAAAAAGTAAAGTTAATATTCAGGGGTTCAAATTTCGGACAGCTGCCCTGACCAAACTATTCGGACCATATTTCCCAATGTTGAGAAAACATGGAAAAAATCAGAGAATGATGAAGAGAAAGAAAAAAGAATGGAGAATAATGATCATCCCCTCAAGCCATTAAGATTGAGACCAAGAACGTAAAAATCTAATCATTGGATCAAAAGTTATTCAGGGTGGACCGTTTTATTTTGGTGCGCTGTGCAAGTTTAAAAACGTTATGTATAACAGTGGATCACATAAATGTTATAACTTAATGACAAACTTCCAGGAGAGTTAGGCCGCCTCATCAGGATTAAAATTGCATAGGGACCCATGTCCGGAATGTTGTCATATGCTTCTAGGGGTGCTTCCCTAATATGAAATTCTTTAGGTTGACTGAGGCTCGTTAGGTAAGGCTTCAGGTTGTTCTGAAAAGGTCATACTAGATAAGCTAGTATGACCTTGTATGAAAGTTGAAATTAGCATCTTAAAATATTGTATGAAGTAAAAAATTTCTGTTTGCTTGCGCTTGTGCCTTCACTCTCAATGTCCACATATTTGCCTTATAATCCTATTAAGATTGATTAGTGAACAGAAGTGATTTTTCTAAGTAATCACTTTTTAAAATTGCATTTAAAATTAAAAAAAAAAAATAAACTGATCAAAAATTTGATCGCTTTATTACGCTCACTGGTTACCCATTGGTTAAACGCTTTTTTTCCTCCTTTGGCTCCGATAAACGCCACAACATTTCAAATCATGGGTTGCGAAAACTGGATATTTGTCGTCGGATTGGTTTTCAAATCCTGCCTATATACGTGTTTCAAGACGTCACAAACTACTTTTCCTTCTTCAGATTTCATATTTTCATTAAAATCATCGTCAAGACAGTAATTATAAGTTAATAATAAAAAGACTATAAAAGTGCTTTAAATTATTATTATTACGCAAATACATTAATAATGACTGCTGATGAAAATGAAAAGAAAAAAAGAATTGTAAAAAAATGATCAAACAGCAGCGGTCGCCATAGCAACGCATGCAATGATGACTCATCCGCACTGTTTACTATTGAACACAGTTGAAAAGTATGATGACATCCAAACAAAGTGAGCACGCCATTAAAACCAAAACAAGACCCATTTTGCCATTGGGTAAAAATCATTGTAACAAATTTGATGAGTTCACAACTGTAATTTCATGTGTTCACTTACCAAACGGGCTATTAAATAGAACATTTACATGCATCACATTATGCATGAAGCTGATCGCTAAGTTAGTTAGAAATCATTCAACGAACAATAGTATAATAATGCAATTTGCACCAGAAATAATAATTGCAAAACGGTTAGTAATATCAGACTCCAATTTAAATAACTTTATCTTAAAATGTAGCGGAGAGTTACGTTATCATAATGAAAAAACAATTCCCTGAGTTTTGAACTTTTAATTTTGAAAACAATGAAAATCAAAAACGTCATAATAGCAGTACGAGGGTTGCTATTTATATTTCTGGCCTTGGCAACAGTAAGTGTTGCTAGGCGACCGCAGACGGTTTTAATCGAAAAATTGATATTTTTAAACATAAATTCAGCAGACGATTTACCATTATAGCTTCATTTGGGTTGTTGACAGTAAATTGAAAAGTTCTTCTCTTTCAAAAAATGGAATTGAATCGTGAACATTTTCGTGCCATTATTTTTCATAACTTTCGACGTGGATTGTCAAGACAAGAGTGCTTCGATGAACTTAATTCTTTATTCAGCGATAAAGCGCCATCCTACAGCACTGTAAAAAATTGGTATAACGAATTTAATCGTGGTCGATGTTCGATCCAGGACGAATCCCGTGCAGGTCGTCCAAAATCCGTTGTTGTGCCAGAAAAGATCGATGCTGTGCGTGAACTGATAAAGCAAGATCGTCATGTGACATACCGTGAGATAGAGGCGTCTTTGGACATTAGTATGACTAGCATCAATAAAATATTGCATGAACATTTGAGCGTAAAAAAAATTTGTTCGCGTTGGATCCCGCATAATCTGACAAACGCTCAAAAAAAGGCTCGTGTCGATTGGTGCAAGGAAATGTTGGAAAAATACGTTCAAGGTACATCAAAGGCTGTGTATAACATCTACACAGGTGACGAATCATGGATCTATGCATATGAGCCGGAAACAAAACAGCAATCAACTGTATGGGTCTTCCAAGACGAGGCAAAACCAACAAAAGTTGTTCGAGGAAGAAGCACATCGAAACAAATGATTGCCTGTTTCTTCGGCATTAACGGTCATGTGGCAACAGTGGCGTTAGAGCAACGCAGGACGGTCAATTCTGAATGGTACACGACCATTTGTTTGCCAGAAGTCATCGGAGAAATTCGAAAAAAGCAGAAGAACAGGCGAATCATTCTTCATCATGACAATGCGAGCTCTCACACATCGACTCAAACAAAGGCATTTCTGACGGAGCGAAAGATCGAACTGATGGGTCATCCGCCGTACAGCCCTGATTTGGCACCCAATGACTTCTTCTTATTCCCACACATCAAAAATAAATTACGTGGACAACGATTTTCGACCCCCGAAGAAGCGGTTGATGCATTCAAAACGCATGTTTTGGAGTTACCTCAATCGGACTGGAAAAAGTGCTTTGAAAATTGGTTCAAACGCATGCAAAAGTGTATTGATCATCATGGAGAATATTTTGAAAAACAATAAAACCAATTTCGATCCTACATATTTGTTTTTTCATTATTAGGCCAGAAATATAAATAGCAACCCTCGTATAGTTAAATACTCTAAAACTAGGGATACAAAGATACTTATAGAAAAGCAATACCTTTATGAATTTTATTAATTTTATGCTGATGACAATACAAAGGAAAAAAAAACTGGATCCGACCATGTGACTTTCCGGTTTATAAAATGTACCGACAACAATTGAAAACTATTTCAGACCGATATGTTTTTATATTGTATACTGATTTGTTATTGGTTATTAGCAATAGTATTTCCCCTTATCTTAAAAATTTCTAAAAAATATTTAAAAAAAAACGTGCACATAAGATTATTTATCATAATAAATTAAAAATGGTGATTTTTTAAGCTTCAAATATAACTTAAAACTTACTTAATGAAGATCAAGAGTTGATAACTTACCGGAATCTGGAAAAAAAATAAAGAAGTTTTAGTTTACGTTCAGAGCTTAAGTTTATAGGTAAATATTGATAAAATTTGACCTCATCAACTTTAAATGTTAAAAAATAAATTATGGAGTAAGATTATGGGTTTTGGGGTAAAAAGTGCCCAGGACATGAAATCATAATTTTATGATCCTCTGCGGAGGTGTGGCTCCTTCGCTATTAGTAGCCCGAAGGTAGACGCTCTGTTCCCTGAACCATCATTGCTCTATTTTAATGTATTGTAAATCTTTTGTTAATACTTGTATAGATTATAAGTATGGTGAAGAGAAATAAAATATGTTTATTACTATTTTCCCTTGAAAATTGCGTTTTCTAAGCTTAATTGGAAAAAATAAAAAGAATATTAAATCTTTTTGTAGCGTAATTGAAGAGTGTTAATATTTTTTCAATATTTTTTATAGTGACTTAATACCTTATTTCATTACTTATTATCTTCCATATAGTTGCTTTGCATGTTAAGAGTGTTACGTAATCTTGACATCCTTTTTCAGTGACTTATCTCGAAAAAACATTAAAGAAACTAAAATTTCTTTTGCTTGTAGTCGCTGTCGTGCCACAGGTCCCTGGTTCTATCCTCGGGCCGGGCAAGGTTGACTCAGCCTTTCATCCCTTCAGTGGGTCGATAAATGAGTATCAAGCATGCTTGGGAACCTAAACACTGGGGGTTCCGCTTTCGGTTGACCACCTGACCGGAACATCTGCTCCTGCACTTCAGAGCCCAAGGTCAAGAAAACTGAGAAGGGCACAGTAGACCTTGGCCCTCTATGGGCTGTCGCGCCGCTGAGTTTAGTAGTGACTTATTTTAAAAATATTAAATAAACTGAATAATATCTTTTCTGCTAGTAACTTATCACAAAAGAGTAAAATAAACTTTTAAAAAGAGTAAAATAAGCTTAAAAGAGTAAAAGATCTTTTCTGTATTGAGTGATTATCTGAAAAGTGTTAAATAAACTTAATAATATTGTTTCTGTAGAGATTTATTGCATGAAAAGTGTTAAATAAACTTTAATGCCTCTTCTGTTGTGACTTATTATTTCAAAAGTGTTAATTGAATTTAATAATATCTTTTCTGTAGTGACTTATTATTTCAAAAATGTTAATTAAATTTAATAATATCCTTTCTGTAGTTACTTATTATCTCAAAAGTGCTAAATAAATTAAATATTTTTTCTGTAGTGACTTATTATCTGAAAAGTGTAAAATAAATTATATATTTCTTCAGTAGTGGCTTTTCATCTGAAAAGTGTAAAATAAACTTAAAAATATCGTTTCCGTAGTGACTTATTTATCTGAAAAATGTTAAATAAACTTAATAATATCTTTTCTGCCCGTGATCTCAAAAGAGTTAAATTAAATAATATATCCTTTCTATAGAGACTTATTATTTCAAGAAAGTTAAATAAGTGAAATAAGATCTTTTCTGTTGTGACATATTAGATTAAAAGCGTAAAATTACTTAATAATATCTTTTCTGTAGTGATTTATTATTTCAAAAGTGTTAATTAAATTNAAAGAAGTTTTAGTTTACGTTCAGAGCTTAAGTTTATAGGTAAATATTGATAAAATTTGACCTCATCAACTTTAAATGTTAAAAAATAAATTATGGAGTAAGATTATGGGTTTTGGGGTAAAAAGTGCCCAGGACATGAAATCATAATTTTATGATCCTCTGCGGAGGGGTGGCTCATTCGCTATTAGAAGCCCGAGGGTGGACGCTCTGTTCTCTGAGCCATCATTGCTCTATTTTAATGTATTGTAAATCTTTTGTTAATACTTTTATAGGTTATAAGCATGGTGAAGAGAAATAAAATATGTTTATTACTATTTCCCCTTGAAAATCGCGCTTTCTAAGCTTAATTGGAAAAAATAAAAATAATATTAAATCTTTTTGTAGCGTATTTGAAGAGTGTTAATATTTTTTCAATATTTTTTCTACAGTGACTTAATACCTAATTTCATTACTTATTATCTTCCATATAGTTGCTTTGCACGTTAAGAGTGTTACGTAATCTTGACATCCTTTTTCAGTGACTTATCTCGAAAAAACGTTAAAGAAACTAAAATTTCTTTTGCTTGTAGTCGCTGTCGTGCCACAGGTCCCTGGTTCGATCCTCGGGCCGGGCAAGGTTGACTCAGCCTTTCATCTCTTCCGTGGGTCGATAAATGAGTACCAAGCATGCTTGGGAACTAAACACTGGGGATTCCGCCTTCGGTTGACCACCTGACCGGAACATCTGCTCCTGCACCTCAGAGCCCAAGGTCAAGAAAACTGAGAAGGGCACAGTAGGCCTTGGCCCTCTATGGGCTGTCGCGATACTGAGTTTAGTAGTGACTTATTTTAAAAATGTTAAATAAACTGAATAATATCTTTTCTGTATTGAGTGATTATCTGAAAAGTGTTAAATAAACTTAATAATATCGTTTCTGTAGAGACTTATTGCATGAAAAGTGTTAAATAAACTTTAATACCTCTTCTGTTCTGACTTATTATCACAAAAGTGTTAAACAAATTAAATAATGTCTTTTATGTTGTGACTTATTATTTCAAAAGTGTTAATTAAATTTAATAATATCCTTTTTGTAGTTACTTATTATCTCAAAAGTGCTAAATAAATTAAATATTTTTTCTGTAGTGACTTATTATCTGAAAAGTGTAAAATAAATTATATATTTCTTCAGTAGTGACTTTTCATCTGAAAAGTGTAAAATAAACTTAATAATATCGTTTTCGTAGTGACTTATTTATCTGAAAAATGTTAAATAAACTTAATAATATCTTTTCTGCCCGTGATCTCAAAAGAGTTAAATTAAATAATATATCCTTTCTATAGAGACTTATTATTTCAAGAAAGTTAAATAAATGAAATAAGATCTTTTCTGTTGTGACATATTCGATTAAAAGCGTAAAATTACTTAATAATATCTTTTCTGTAGTGATTTATTATTTCAAAAGTGTTAATTAAATTTAATAATATCCTTTCTGTAGTTATTTATTATCTCAAAAGTGCTAAATAAATTGAATATTTTTTCTGTATAAACTTATATGAAAAGTGTAAAATGAACTTAATATTTTTTCTGTAGGGGCTTATCATCTCCAATGTAGATGGTGAAAGGACGAATTGCAAATTTTATGAAGTACAAAATAGATATACATAAATATTAGTTACTTGCAATGGTTGCGAACGTAGTTGCGTACGTGGCCACTAGAATGCAGAGTGGTATCAGAAACATACAAAACAAGCTAACAGAAGTATACAGCTGTTCTTGCCATGCTGCTGTATAAAAGCCGTATGTGACACATTGATAAAATTCTTCAATAAAGGGTCCTTTCACAACTCGAAATATTAGTGCCTAAAATTTAAAATATGACAATTAAAATAAGTTTTCATAATATCATATGAATTTTCTAAACATATTTTTTAAGAAACTTCGTAAAAAATAAAGACCAAAAAATACATTGCATTATTAATATACTCCTATATAGGCTTTAAAAAAATACAAAATAAAAACGTTACCAAAATCTAATGAAACATTAAAGATAGGCGGGAAAAAACATTCATTGAGACCTGTTTGACGGTTGAAAGATGAGATAAGAGTTTGAAAGTTGTAATTAGAACGCTTTCAAGTTTCATTAGACATTCAACCTACTTTAGAAACAACAACGACAGCAAACAAGTATACTTCTCTGTTCCAATCAAAATAACATTTGGGATTAAAAAAATATGGATCGTATCGTATAACGAACTAAAATGTATTATCGCCATTTTTCTACCCTGCTCTACGTAGCAGAGAAGTGGGGATTCAATAGTGGGAGTAGTATTCACTTGGGTATATTTAAAATAAAATTCTTGATAAGAATATATTATGAAATTGCATAAAAACTATATCGAGATAAACCGACTGCAGGTTTGAAATCAGCGACTTCTAAATATTTAAGATGCGAACGAAAAATCTAATGTCACAAAAAATAAAGCGAAATTTAATTTCAGATGCATGAGATTTTTGCCCCCCCCCCGAAGTTGAGGAACCAATTTTTGCCTTTCTTAAACTGAGTTTCCAAACTGGCAGTAAAAAGCAATTTAAAAAATCAAATGTAGAGTGATCCAGGACTATCAATTGCTACCTAATTTGCAAAATATTTAATGGAATGGTAGACAATTAAAAACCTAAGGTTTGAGAATTTTGTTAAAATTGAAAAAGCCTCACCTCGAGAGAGCTGGAACAGAGTGGTATTTCTTAATAAACTTTTGAATCATTTACATGTTGCTGTGTGGAAAATAACTGAAAATCTAATTTACAATAAAAGAAAAAAACGTTGAAACATGTATATAGTAACTACTTAAGGAAATTTTCCTCAAAGCATAAGAGGTTGGCGGTAGGACTGGGCGATATAAGAAATTTTATATCGTGAGGCATCGTCAGTTTTGCATCGCGATATAGCGATGTAATCGTGATACAGTATTTTTGAAATTCATTTACTTGTAAGGCGCAGAAAGCCGGATTTCTATCAAAGCTTCATACTCAGATAGATTTAAATCAATTTATGAATTTGATGTATATGTTTTGCTTAAGAAAGATATTAATGTTATATTTTCTAAAAATGATGGCGCAAATAACGAAAGATTTATTAGTTTAAAAATAAATGATAAAAAAATAATTAAAATTGAAATTTATCAATATATTTACCTAACAATATAGAAAGAAAATTTAAAAAATAAGTTTGTTAAAAATTATCTGTATGCTTAAAGCAAAGTGCTAAGTAAATTAAACAAAAAAAAAAANGGCTTAAATCAGATTTCTGATGCATCGCCTGGAACAAAAGTCGCTGTATCGGCCTGCCGATACAGGCGTTAAATCGATATGTCGCGATATATCGATTTATAGCCCAGTCCTAGTTGGCGGTTTTATTAACCACAGTTGCCAACTGCCCTGGTAACTACAAATAATTTTAAAAAATGTTAGAGAACTATTACTTAAGATCGGTTGATTGTGCCAATATTTTAAAACGTTCAGCACGTATTAATTGTAGCAAAGCAGCGCATGATATAGGGCTGCCAACTTTCTTCATTCTTTGTAAAAATTTATCCTTGTGGTACCTAAGTTTACATTTTAATGTATTATTTCAAATTCATTTGAACTTAGTTTTCACGCCACTAGATATAAAAGATTTTAAAGTTCATGTGCTACTCCGCTTTGTTCTGGCTCTTTCTTGGTGAGAAAATGTTGTCAAAATTACCAAAAAGCCTTGGTTTTTAAATGTCTACTACTCGATAAAACATTTTTCAAAAAGAGTAGTAGTTGGCAATTATGAAATTAAAGTGAAAGACAAATAAGTCTGTTAAATTAATATAGCCCACGTTTAAGCGACCCCCATTTTTTTCCCTTCTGAATATGTTCGAATGCATTTCTGACTCGGCCATCTTGAGGAGATTAAATTTAGTTTAATGGAAAAAAAATCTTCTCTATCAATTACAATCACTGCTTAAGGCTAATATGTATCAAAACGGAAAAGAACAGAAACTAGTAAGAAAACACATCATTATTGTTAAATTTTATTAAACAACATTCTATAAAATTAACATTATTAAAACTAATATTCCATAAAATAACAGAATCAACAAAAACTAGTAAGAAAACACATCATTATTGCTAAATTTTAGTATGATTAAAATATCCATGATTCGTAAGATTTTTTCAACAATTCTAACACGCATCTAGGACTGTTATTTTAACCAAAATAAAGTAAGCAGTGACGAAAACTTTATAATTGAATACCAGAAAGCGACGTCATCGTTGGAGAAATCATGGCGTTGGCCGATTCAGAAGCCAATCAGGTTCAACACAAGCACGCAACGTCACCTACAGGTATCCAATTAAATCTGTTTTAAATCACATAGTTAGTGACGTAGTGTGGGTATCTCGATCCTGATTGGTTATTGAAACGTGACATTTGTTTACGCTAGCAACTGTTCTTTTTAATCTATTTTGAGGAAGTCAAGGCTGTCAAGTACCAATTCTCTTAAGTAACACAGCCTATATTCTTTCACAAAGCTACCACCATATATTTACGCAAAGACAGGCCTGAAGCCATGTCGAACATAAACAAACTAATTATGCATCGAAGTTGCTAGGTACACCAAATAAAAAAAACATCACTGTTACAATTAAATACATAAGCAAATAATACATTTAAGTCAAGTAAAAGAAGTAGACTAGAACGAATTATATTTCAACAAATTTGATTTGCTATACGTCTTTGCATTTATTTAACTCAACGTTAATTAATATTTCAAGTTATGTAGAGAAACTTAGCTCAACTTTAATACTCCATATTCCTGATAAAGATTAGCTGGTGCTAACGTCATAGGTCACAAGTGTGGGTATTGGTTATCTTCTTCTTCTGAAGTGCAAGTACCCAATTAAGAATAGTATGGTCTTATTTTTCTGGCTTATTATAATATGGGCTTATTATTTATATCAGGGTTCCATGTTACTTTCAATATCTAATGCATGTACTGCCCATTCTGAATAATATCTTTTCTNACATCACTGTTACAATTAAATACATAAGCAAATAATACATTTAAGTCAAGTAAAAGAAGTAGACTAGAACGAATTATATTTCAACAAATTTGATTTGCTATACGTCTTTGCATTTATTTAACTCAACGTTAATTAATATTTCAAGTTATGTAGAGCAACTTAGCTCAACTTTAATACTCCATATTGCTGATAAAGATTAGCTGGTGCTGACGTCATAGTTCATATGAGTGGGTATTGATTATCTTCTTCTGGAGTGCAAGTACCCAATTAAGAATAGTATGGGCTTATTTTTCTGGCTTATTATAATATGGGTTTATTATTTATACCATTTATAATTTCTTTATTCGTCTTATATTGAAGTTGACAACGCATACACAAAATTTATTTAACACGAAAGGAAAGCTAAAAATAAATTGTAAAATATTTAAAAACTAGTGATAGAAAACACATTCTAAAAGAAGAAACTATTTGTTTATTCTTTGTATCTAACTATGTAGAGACGATCAGATATATATATATTGCTTGCTTTATTGAATTAGATTAAGCATCCTCTGAGGGAAATATTATTTACTGAGAAGAAATAATCCCTAAAGGGATAAAATGTTTGTTTATTCTTTTCATACGGCCATGTAATGCTGATTTGGCATGTTTTTGTAGCTTTATTGAATTATTTTCAGTGTCGAGTGAGGAAGTATTTACTGGGAACGAAGTTAAAGAGAAAAAAGTAACAAGTGTAATGCTTTTCTGAGAAAAACGAGAAATGGTGATAAAGGGAAACCAGGACAAAAATGGTTAAACTCATTAAACTGATTTATATAAATTTTTAATTTTCTGTTTTTCTTTTAAAAAACTTTTAGGAAAATCAAATTATAAAAGAACAATGCATTTTAAGCTGCGTCATTTTAATTAAAAAGCTCACCTATGAAAAGTCACCTGTCTTTTATGATATCTTTGTATTATAATGTTTCAACTTTTATTTCGCAATCATGGAAATTTGAGTTCTTTTTTATAACCTGAGTTGTAGCTAACGTAAAAGTTTGTACTTCATTTAAACATCAATGAATTACCCCTCCTTTTGGTAAAGCATTTTTACATCTCTCTTGGCAAGATTTGTATAGGTATAAATCCGAACGAACAAATTTTAATATTCTGTGAATAAAGTGCATAAGTGAAGCGTGTGATTCAACCTTGTTAGATTTAAGTAATAGTGACATTACCAATAAAAGCAGTGACGTCATCAGCGAGATGAAATAAGGCTCATGGGAAATTTTTCGCGGAAAAATGGCTCTCGCTTACACTTTGAATGAATAGGATATCAGATGAATAATATTTCATTTTGACATATCTGGAGATCTCTCGAGATGTTATCAATTATGGGAATGTGGAGGTGAATTGGAACGAAATGCGTTGCACTTTGAAGGTAATAGGCACTTCCTTTGATATTAATTTCCAATTGTCAAAATGAATTAAGTGTGTTTTGAACATGCCCCCCCCCATTTTCTAAGAAATAAAGACTGGTAGCTCATTTCTTTTAGATAAACAAATTATTTAATCATTTTATTAGTATTAAAAGACGCCCGGTGGCTGAGTGGTAGCACTTCGGGCTACCACAGGTCATGGATTCGATCCTCGGGCCGGTGAAGGTTGACTCAGCCTTTTATCCCTTCAATGGGTCGATAAATGAGTACCAAGCATGTGTGGGAACTAAACACTGAGGGGTTCCGCTTTCGTCCGACCACCTGACTGAAACATCTGCTCCTGCACCCCAGAGCCCATGGTCAAGAAAACTGAGATGGGCACGGTAGGAC